AAAATGGCTCTCTCGGACTTATACTATAGGCCTAATGAATAAAATTTCCTTTTTCAACATTTTTTTCTAATAATTTTGAAAAAATAGGGGGTCGGGCAGAAGATGTGTATAAGAGACAGTATATATATATATATATATAATGATTATCATTCATTCAAAGCAACATTTAATTTCTTCAAATTGAAGTACAGTACAATGTACAGCAAGGAAAATTAATTATCATTATGATGATAATGATGATGATAATGATATAATATGATGATAAATATATAAGCATATATATGAAAATAAATTGTTTATCCATATAACAGAAAGTACCACAAAACAATACATGTATATAGGCATATATCTGTCTCTTATACACATCTAGATGTGTATAAGAGACAGTTATGTAATCGTCTGATTGGTAATACTACTCGCATTATGGCATTTAATTTCTTGTGTTTTAAAAATATTTCAGTTGACCAAAGGAGATTGGATTTAGAACGGCTAGTAGTCTTTATCATCTCAAGCCTCATGCTATTAGGCCTACATAAAGGTAAAGGTAGAAAAATAACTCATCGTTACGTATTAGCAGCGTCATTGAGCGTGGTACGTGACTACTGTAGGTGCCATATAGAGGCGCTTTATAGGTTCACATAGTTCCACAAAGGTAATGCAATGGGTTTTTTTAAAGTACAAATGAGCCAAATGTGTACATTGAACTTTCAGTTTTAAAGCCAAGCTCTGGAGGAAAAACCATTTTTGATTTGTTCAACAACTGATTTGTCTAAGACAGAAAAAGCATTATTTGACGAAAAACTCGGAAGCGGTTAAGGAGATACATATTTTTGAATATTTAAAGACTAAAGAATAAAGGGGCGTAAACACAATTTTTCCCACCTTTTCCAACAGTTTTTAAATATTCAAAAGTTTTTCGCCAAATACGGTTTTTTGTCTTAGAAAAATCAGATGTACTAAATATTTTTAAAAAAAGATGTGTATAAGAGACAGCTGTAATAATTAATAGGCCAAAGTCTATGTTGACGGTTGGTGATGCTAATTAATAATATTAACGGTTCTTGAGAGTTGACCGTTTTTTTACACTTATGACCAATAACAATAATATAGGATAGGCTAGACCTAATCCATTATGGATACAATAATGTCATCCATCGATCAAAACATCCATTTTGATTAATCAAACAGCAGCTTTTTGACTGTGGCAGTGCCGATAGAAAACTGCAGTTTTTTGGCACTGTGGCAGTGCCGATAGAAAACAGCAGCTTTTACACACTGCTGCAGTGGCCATAGAAAACAGCAGCTTTTTCGCACTGCAGCAGTGCCGATGAAAACAACAGCTTTTTTTTGCACTGCGGCAGTGGCGATAGCCTTAGCCTCACCTAACGGGGAAATAAAATAGGGGTAAATTAACTAAAAGCCATATATAGGGGCCTATTTGAAAATTACAATTTGCAAATCTCTTCGATAAAACATTTAAAAAAAAACAAAACTTTTTTCTTTAATGTGAATTATCAGCTTCGGGATTTACTGCGAAAACATAAACTATCACAATGAAAACTTTTAACGGAATAATTTATTAATTATCATTCAGGTTTCGATTATTAACAGACGCTTGTATATACATCCATAACCTGTGCTGACGGATGCAAAAAAACTAATTGAATTGTTACATAATGAAATAAATAATGATTATATAATGGTTAATGGTTATTATGTAATCGTCTGATAATTGGTGATCGTATTTGATGTCATTTAACTTCATGAGTCCTGTATACCAACATTTTCAATAACATTGGATTCTGAACGGCTAGTGGCCACCTTATCCTTTCAAGTCACCACTACAACATAAACAAAAACTAATAGGTATGCAAAAACTATAGAATGGTTATATAATGGTTACCGGTATATAATGATTATATAATGATTATAATTATAATGGTTATTATGTAATCGTCTGATTGGTAATACTACTTGCATTATGGCATTTAATTTCTTGTGTTTTAAAAATATTTCAGTTGACCAAAGGAGATTGGATTTAGAACGGCTAGTGGTCTTTATCATATCAAGCCTCATGCTATTAGGCCTACATAAAGGTAAAGGTAGAAAAATAACTTATCGTAACTAGCAGCGTCATTGAGCGTCGTCCGTGACTACTGTAGGTGCCATATAGAAGCGCTTTATAGGTTCACATTATATTCCACAAAGGTAATGCAATGGGTTTTTTTTAAGTACATATGAGCCAAATGTGTACATTGAACCTTCGGTTTTAAAGCCAAGCTCTGGAGGAAACACCATTTTTAATTTGTTCAACAACTGATTTGTCTAAGACAGAAAAAGCATTATTTGACGAAAAACTCGGAAGCGGTTAAGGAGATACATATTTTTGAATATTTAAAGACTAAAGAATAAAGGGGCGTAAACACAATTTTTCCCACCTTTTCCAACAGTTTTTAAATATTCAAAAGTTTTTCGCCAAATACGGTTTTTTGTCTTAGAAAAATCAGATGTACTAAATATTTTTAAAAAATCCTGCGGAGTTGGCTTTAATTTCTTATCCGATAAAAAAAAATTCCTTCATGGTTCTACTAACCCTGAGCGAGAAGCGGTTCGAACAATCTCCTGTCACTTGACATTCATTGTATAAACACAGGCGCGGTGCCTTCAGGGGACACGGGAGAAGAGGGCCCCTCCCCCGTTTTACCACTAAGACTTCTAAAATTTCAATGCATATCAATGTTATGTATTGAAATAAGCGCTACTCGCTTATTTATTCTGAAAATGTTGTGCCCCACTTGGGGCGGATCCAGTAGGGGGAACGGGGGAACGTGCCCCACCCCCCCCCCGTGCTTCTTCAAATTGAAGTACAGTACAATGTACAGCAAGGAAAATTAATTATCATTATGATGATAATGATGATGATAATGATATAATATGATGATAAATATATAAGCATATATATGAAAATAAATTGTTTATCCATATAACAGAAAGTACCACAAAACAATACATGTATATAGGCATATATATATAATATATATATATATATATATATATATATATACGTATCTTTCATTCATATGATGTTGTTGTTGATATTAAATGATACGATGGTGGCCATTGTGATAGCTGCTTATGATCTGAGTATCGGTGTTAGGCTAATTTACATAATTGTGACGTATATAATTGTTCTCCTCAACGTTGCCAGGAAACAATTTAGTTGTTATCATCTCATTACAGATTCTCAAGAAGATGTGAATCAGAATATCTTGTAGTGTCAGTTGCAATAATGAAACGCGATTTCATCGGAATTCTGCTGACAGCGGGAATCCTTGTTATCTTCTTTTGGAACAGTGTTCCTCAATCCACTATAACTACACTAAAATCTGGTAGGTATGCCTTTTAGTGTAGGTATGTCTTTTAGTGTCTAGAAATACAGTAGGTCTTTTTCTTAGTCATCATCATGATTATCATCAAGATCATCATAAACATAATCATCAAGATTATTACCATCATAACATCATCAACATAAATGTCATCAATACCATTATAAACATAGACCTATCAGAATCATTTTATGATGATCGTTATCATTATTATAATCACAATCATCACTTACCATGACATCTATCATCACAGCCGTTTACAGGTCATCATTATCATCAACATCATGACCATCATCGTAATCATTATCAATTAGTTGATTTTTTTCATTAGTATGATTGACTCATTTTTTGATGCAAATACAATTAAGAAACGCTACGTAAGTCAGCCACCGCCTTGAAATTTGACGCGCATTGACGCAACATGTGTAGTAAATTGGTTGAAGTTTGGTTTCCATCCATGCAATCGCTACACACAGTCGTTACAGCGTTTTCACTGCAATTCTTGCACTGTGTAGCTTCGCTCACTGTATCGGCGACAGTCGCCGGGAAGGTTGAACCTGGTTCAGCTTTGCCGATTGCGTTGCACGAATCAGGATGCATTGAGATAGCTGCCCTGACACAATCGGGAAGGCACCCCAATTCGTCTGCAACGCGATTGGCGCCGATATTGGGTGAGCGATTATATGGAAACCGAGCTTGATTCAACTGACCAATCAGGGTCGCCAAAGGAGTCGGCGACACTGTGTAGCGATATTATGGAAACCACGCTTGAGGCAACAGTGAAAGCGTTTGTCCATTCTGTGAATAGGCCTATCTGTGATTTGTCCATAATTATGGTCATGGTATCAAAGGTATTTGTCACAGAAAATAATGTGAACAAGACTTAACGCATCTTATTGTGCTTTTGATTTCAGTGGTGCCAAAAGCTAAGGCGGGTAGATTAGATCAACAGGTAAGTAGCAATGGGTATTTAAAGGCGGGCACTCACTACGAGCACGGCGGTCGTCGGCCGACGCGATCCATAGAGAACGCAATGCCATGACGCCCGCGCGCAAACGGATCGTGTTGACGATCCGTTCAGACTGCCGCCGACAATCAGCAGACTGAGTCGTGCAGTTTAAACGCTCACAGGGAACGGAGTTCGATTCGTCGACCGACGTTCGTACGACGCAGTGAGTGCCCGGCATAAGTCATCAGATTTTTTCATCAGATTTTTGTTCAATAATTAACTCCGCCAAGGCAAGGATGTTTATGTATTCACAAGAAATGGATCATAATACAATTTAGTGGACTGGTACTATTCTCATCCATTCATGAAAGAATTCATTCATTCATCCATTCTTTCATCCATCCACGCAAAAAATCTATCCATCGATGCATCCATCGATCAATCGATCGATCCATTCATCCACCCACCATCTACTAATCTTATCCGCTGATCAGCGCCGTAGCAAGGTACGAAAACCACGGGCCCGGTAAATTAATTACCAGGCCCGTGGATGTGGCACTGATAGGGGAATTCCCTAGTTCTCAGAAAATTCATTCCAAGGACTGCTTCTTTTTTTTCTTTTTTTCTTTTTTTTAACACAACTCATAAATACTATTGATAATCGGATTCATAACCATTTTAAGAGGGGCATAATCGGTCTCAGCAGCTGCTGTAATTTTTTTTAAAATGGTGGCACGTAAAATTAAACAATTGTAGTGGCGGATCAGGGAATTCGAATAGAGGGGTGAGGGAGGGATTTTCACAGGTGGATGAGGAAGACCACCTCCTCACCACCATGGTTGGTCTGAGGTAAAAAGATATGATTATAGCACCTTTAGATGCCCGAAAATGGCACTAGATGCCCAAAAATGGCACTCTCGGACTTATACTATAGGCCTAATGAATAAAATTTCCTTTTTCAACATTTTTTTCTAATAATTTTGAAAAAATAGGGGGTCGGGCAGACTGGAGCCCCAGCCTTGAATACACCATTGAACACAGTAGTCAATAATTCCTACTCCAAAAGCCGAATATTATTGAGGGTCCCGCTACCCCCCCCCCCTTTTTTTTCTTCAAAATTAAATTGGAAAATATTCTAAGTATTATTTCTAGGTCTATTTATGAATGGCCCCTAACAGCCCTGGACCCCAGTGCTTTGCACTGACTGCACTGCCCGTAGCTACGCTCATTCTTTCATTCATTCATTCATTCATACATTCATTTATTCATTCATCCGGATCTGAATAGTGTAATTATGCAATAAGTATATTCTTTTAAATTCTTTTGATACTCCTCGACACATAAAACCAACTATATTTTTTTTTTATATGTAATATTGATGTCGAAATATAGTAAATTAAAAAAAATAATAAAATAAATCATTTACGTTTATTCAACAGAAAAATGATTTTCTACGGAGAATGCGGAACATTCAAAACGAACGGAAGCAGACTCTGAAAAAAGCATGCAAGAAGTACAAGTCAAAAATTGGGAAAGTAGACGTTTACAAACATCCGCCATGGAATATTGCCATTAACGACGAATACAAACTCCTCTACTGCTTCACGCCAAAAGTCGCCAGCACCAGCTGGAAAAGGCTCCTTTTAGTTCTGAATGGTTTTATGAACAGTACAGACGATCTACCTCAACATGTCGTCAACCGAGCGGGAATGAATTCGTTTCAGTACCTCGAAGAACGATCGCCAAAAGATGTCAAGTACATCCTAAGTTCTTACACAAAATTTATGTTCACTCGAAATCCCTTCTCAAGAGTTCTCTCTGCTTTTCGCAACAAACTCGCTCCTGACACAAATTTTAGTCAGACAGATATATGGAGGGACAAACTTGGTTATTATTTATCTACGCTGTATACCAATGAAACGAAGGGTGACACCCAGACAAGTTACAATTTAACTTTCATGGATTTTGTCCATTTTCTGACCGATCCAGATCAAACGGACCACAAACACTGGAAGAATCCGCATTGGGGGTATCAGTACCAACGCTGTAGACCATGCGAAATCGAATACGATGTTATAGGCAAGTTTGAAAGCCTACAGGAAGATGCTAGGTATATAATGAGGATTGCGCATATCGGTAACGTGACGTCATTTCCGTCGTCGAGCGGAAGCAATCCCACGGATAGTTCAAATACGCGTAGTCTGCACTCTTACTATTCCACCTTACCTGTCAGTTACATACAGTCGTTGTATCAACGATATATAATAGACTTTGAAATGTTTGGATACAAAAAGCCAACGTCAAACATTCCGTTTAAATGATATTCTTTTAGTAGTAATAATGAAATGAATGTAGTTTTTAAAACATAGATCAATGTATTTATTTATTTATGTGTTCGAAACAGACAAATATTGACCATCAATATTTATTTAGGAGAAAGTCAGTGGGAAAATTTTTATTGCAACGGCTCCGCGGAAGTTGTAATGAAATCGTATTATAAACATTCTGAAAAAAAAATGTATGGCGATTAATTATAAATGTCAAAATTAACGAGGCGATACCCCATTGTTGAGGATGTTATGGTTTAATTAACTTTACGTCCCTTCATATAGGAAATAGTCCCGGTTCATTTCATCACGATGGTATGGCAGGGTATACTAAAGTCTATATCACGCTAGAACAGTTTATTAGGCGTGTTGCCGCAAACGCTAGTAACGTTCGCTCGCCTGCGTCATGCCACAAAGTGGATTTTCAGTGTGAAACGCGAACATTATCACAAAATACATTTTCAATGTTGTACACGTTCTTACCAATCTCTATCTATTGTATAGCACTATCTTTTTTTTTAGTAAAGAGTAAAGAGAAGGGCTTCTTTTCAAAATGAATGCCGTAAATTTTGGGAATTTGTACTATAAAACAATAATAACTAGGCCTAAGGCCACTGCCACCGGTGTTGCTAATGTGTGTGTCGTGTTACAAAACAGTACAGTAATTATGTAATTGTACATTATCCGAGTCCATTGAGTGGTTCTTCCATACGGATTAAACAAGTGCCATAAATATGATATGTATAAATGTCGTCGATGTTTATTCTGTTTTTCAAATTCTCATTTAATAGTTAAAATCCCCCATAAAGTGAGTCGCAAAAAATCCCCCAGAGACCTATTAGTACACGTAATAAAGTAGTGTTTTACAAACGAATCATTGATTGCTAATGGATTATCACTCGCGCTTGTGTGTCTGTATTCTACGGTTCAATAGAGTGGAAATCAATGGATTGGGAAACAATGGAACGGGGATCCCAGGGCCACAAATTTGTGAGGTTTTGTACACCTGCGCTTGAAATGGGGCGTATAGCCGGGCGTATTGCGCACGGGGCCGAATGGCGCAGCGTGTAATGGTGTTGGACTACTGATCGCAGGATCGAGAGTTCGAGATCGACGTTCATCGCATGCTTGAGTACAAGTGGGTACCTGGTAGGTTCGAACACAACTGCGCTGATTACTAGCTGCAATATTATTATGGAATTCTCCCCAGGGAGCTGAGTATGTGTTCCATGCGTTTTTGACTCAATGGCCTGGGTAGTAATATGAAGCGCTTAGGCATGAAGCACTATATAACACCGACATATTATTGTTATTAAAATCGCAACCACAAAATATTGGTCTACATTAGTAACATAATAAAAGACTGAGGATTATCGCATTTCTTTTGATGAATCTCTAAAAAATTAATATTGGCGAATATTGTCGTTTCTCACTGCGCTTTTTTTACCGACTAAAACTCAAAATTTTCCTACAAATTTATGGTCAAAGTTAAATGTATACTGGTGCACAAAAATTTAAACCCCGTTTAGGCAATTCGCCCTTGTGAGTGCGTTTAGGCAATTCGCCCTTGTGAGTGCGAATTCACAATAAACCCCCATACAAATGGGGGTAAAGATCGTTGGGGGTCAAAATCCTTGTAACACTGACCCCCTCAATATCATCAGGAATGCGTGAATGAATATTATGTGTTCTTCTAAAAATAGAAAATAAATTTTAGTGTTTCTCAAAAACCGCATAAACCATCAAGTATAGTAATGAATATAGCCATTTTGCCATGTAAAAAAGTATATACAGTACATGCTATCATGTTGGCATTTTAATATTTCATCATATATATTTATATATATATATATATATATATATATACATATACATATACATCTGTCTCTTATACACATCTAGATGTGTATAAGAGACAGAAAGATATGGCTTGAACAGTACAAAGGTCCCAGCGTTTTATTTTACAGACGTTATGTTGATGGTATTTTAAACTGTTGCTGGATGCTACCCCTAGCAAATTATGATTAGCGGGCCGGATGGGGGGGGGGGAGGTCCCGACGAGGGGGCCGATGCCACGATGAGGGGTCAGATTTCTACAATATGTAGAAAATACATATAATTTTTTTCTCTCTCCGAGGAAATTGTGCTTTTTCTCCCCCCTGCATATAACGACCAATTAGAACAAGGACAGGAATACGCGCGTCTCATAAAAACACACGTGCCCACATCCACGCTATCAGTTTGCGAGACCATAGCAACAATATCCAAGGGGCGTGGCTTAGCTAAAGGTCCATTCTGCAGAAGATTAATTTCATGCCAATCTTGCATCCTACTAGAGAGCCATTTATTCTCTTGGATGGACAGAATAGAATTGGTAGCCTGCTTGGTCTAAAGACAAATAGAATTCAAGGGATTCAAACCCATGACCTCAAACTTCTGTGCCACTTACGAAGAACTGGATTAAAAATAGTGGTCAAATATGGAAAAACCCGGTTTCTGGGAAACATATTTATAATCTGCACCATCTAACAAATGTATTCTACCTGAAAAAAAACTTTACAGTGTTTTCATCACATTACTGAACATTAAGAGTTGTTTTTTCCCACTGTACATTTAGTTATTACCTTAAATTTTACAAAAATACATTAGCACAGTTTGTTTCACTTCAAGGATAAAATTCAACATATTTGTACAAATAGCTTTACATAATTTCTTTCTACAGTTTGATACACAATGAATTTTACTGTAGTGATTTTTAATAACTTTAAAGCCAGAAATATTATTAGATTCGGTCAGACTGGATATTGTTTGAGCAGACTTTATCTGATCAGATAGAGAAGGACAGACAGTATTGAAAATGTTTGACAGACTAAAGGCATTGTGAATTTGAACAAGTTTTATTTTATCTGATAAGGCCCTGTCCAGACTATCAAATTTTATTTGACAAAACCATGTGACATGCCTAAATATGGTCATGAGGGCATCACATCATGACTATATATGGGCATAAGATCAAAGACAATTTTGACAGAGCTTAAAATTATTTATCAAACACTTTTTTGAAAGTCTAGACAGGTTCTAAACATTTATTTCTATCTTAAATATATATATATTTTTAACTTTTCAAGATTTGTAAAAATCTCTGGTCAAAAATATTCAAGACGATATATTTTGTCTCAATTTTGGAAAGGCAATAAAAAAAAAACACATTCATAATATTCCATGCATCAATCTTAACATACAAATAATCATGCATGTATTTATTAAACCTGTGCAATAATTTCCAGATTATTGTTACTTAAATTAATAAAAATATTGTCTTCCAATTGGTTAATATTTGCATCAACTACATTCTCCTTCATAATATCACAACCTCTCAAAACCATTAAGGTTTTTCCAGACTACCTAATTGTGGAATGCCCATATATAGTCACGATGTGCCTATATAATAGACATGATGTGTCCATATATAGTCATGATGTGATGTCATCATGACCATATTTAGGCTAAATCTCTGTATATTACAGTAAACCTTTTTCTGAAAACTTACAATTTACATGCATTTATAAATACAAATGCCTTTATATTCTCTTAAATAGAAGTAATAACATATAAAATTAATACGTTTGAAGAATCTATTCTGAAACACAGGTTAATGTTTGCTTTGTTATATCCCAAAACTCAAGGTAAAATATTATTGTACAATATCTTATAATGTATGAAATATGCAAAGTATTAAAATATCATAAATACATAATATATAAAACGATTGACAACATAGAACCAAGGTTTTTTTTTTTAATTAATACTTTGAAATCAGGTTTTTAATATCTTAAACCACGACTTTTATTGACTGAAATATTAATTCATAACACACTAGTTTTTGTACAGTATAAACAGTGCGTATCTAGAAGTCTTGAAATGGGGGTTAATGGGAAAGGGGAGGTAAAGTTGAAGGGGGAGGGACCTACGATTATGTGAGGGGGCACTAGCAATATTTATATATTTTTTAATATTTCAGCGCATTTTTTTGCTTAAAATATATCCAGGGTGTGTGACTGGGGGTGCAAATTTTGTTGGGAGCGGGGAAAAAGAAGGAGGCACCCTGGTCATGGGGCTGATTTTTGACCGAGATATCGCACATATATCTACTGTCTGCATATCAACATCAATTTCTTGCAAGGTTTGAATTCACTTGTGCAAAGACGATAATAAACTCGATTGGAATATCTTGGAAAGACACACAACCCCCCACCAAATAATAGTTCAAACCCCCCTACTGAAAATGTCTGAAGCAAAAAAATTAACTCAAGTAGTTGAAAATCACCTACTGCCTTATTTTACGGCCTAGTATCCAATCACTTAATCATCAGTCTCCCCAATTACTAAACTCCTAGATACACCTACCGGTATCTATTCATTTTTTTGCCATTTCTATTAATTCATTTTTTATTGTACTTAATTACTTCTATCTTTGCAAAAATTGGTTTTAATGTACAGCGCTCAGATCTTTGGAAATTTTATTGAATATGTTGTAATTTGTACTTGCCATTTTTATTGATTGATTTTTTATTTTGTACTTACTTTCATCTACATTACTAATAATAATATGACAAGCCATTCAAATATTGAATTTTAATGTAAAGTACATTAGTACAACAGTACAGTGCGTCTTAAAATTATTCATAAGGATAATATTATGGGATGAATTGAAATATTCTTCAAGGTCAAACTTATACATATCATCTCTAATTAGTCTGGCAAGGTGAAAATTTAATCATTATCATCAATTGAACAGGGTACCGAGTTTAAAGAGCTATACTTGTACCGTATTTTTGTGTGATAATACCCATGGCATGCAAACCCTTAAAAATAGTAATATATAATACATTAGCAGGGGGCGCTACCAAAACTTTCAGATGGTTTGAATGTTCGAGATTCGGACGCAATTTTGGTTGAGTTCCGAACTCGTATTCTAATAGGACGCCCCCTACCTTGTGGTAGTACTTCATTTTTCGTTTCATTGCAAAATCAAGAGTTTTGCAATTCTACACCCGTTCACATAATATTCGTTTGTAATGTCGGAAATTGATAAAAACATCTTTTTTTTTTAATTTACTAGGCCAAAACAGTATGTTTATAAATGTAGTTGATTTATAAATGATAAACATTATTAAACGATCATGGACTAAAAAAATTACAGGTTCAACATTTAGGTAAGTGTTTAAAATCTTTCTTATTTTTATTTGAATATAAATGTTGTTTGAAGAAATCGGACGAACTCTGATATTTCCAACATATATCTTTACCCTACACTTTCATATACATACTCTACATTTTATTGCAGATCGAAAAGAAGTGCCATTTATTTTTTATATCTCAGCTTACTATGAATATACCACAGTTAAAACAATAACGATAAAATTCATATTGATTCAAAAATCAATATATTAGTAAAATAATGCTTTTGAATTTATTATTATTATTATCATAATTTTCATTTAAAATATTGTAGATGGCAATTCTAGTGAAAATAGATGAACTTTAACATTACAAAAAACTGCAAAAAAGATATTTCTGACCATTGCCTTTTAAAGCACACAATATACAAAGCACACCATATATAAAGTATTTGAAAACTTAATTATATTATATTTTGTTACTTGTCTATCTTATCAGATGCATTTTGAAGTTCCCTGTAGATTCAAAATGTTGAATTAAGGCATTGTCAAAACATTGAGGTCAGAAGATGATGTGCATTTTGAATATTCAAACGCTGAACGATTCATGATGTTTATTATCAGAATAATTAACGACTCATAACGACAACAAATCATGTTTCTGACCGATTTCACTGTTTCAACATTCTTGTGACATTGAGGGCAGCAAACACATAGTTGCAATGTTCAGACACTGGATAAATCATGTTCTGACTTTGTCTTCCTGTTTCAACGTCCTTGCAACACTGAGGGCAGCAAACATATATTTGCAACTTTCAGAAAATGCTTGAATTCATGAATCAACGTTAAATCAGAAGATATGACAAACTTGCGTTTTTGTCTCAGTTTAGAGGCATAATTCTTTTACAAATGTTAATAGTGTAGTGTGTAACCTTTCAACTATTCAACATACCAGCTGCTACTTCCAGTACAGTATCATTGTAATATTCCTGATAGTGTACGCTATAAATCTAATTGATTGAGTGTCAATCAAACTTACTAATCAGAACACAGTATGGAATATGCGCACATCTCAGAAATGTGCAAGTTATCCCACAAACGTATGTATGTTTTTACAGTCGTTTTGTAGCATCTTAGCAAATATATCCAAGGAGCGGGCTTAACGGAAGGGTCTATTTTCCATTCACACCTGCCAGAGTAAGAGATGATTCGTGCTATCTTCTTTCCCAGCCGATTCATTCGGTGACGTTAAGCCGAAATCTTCATAGCCGTCTCCTCCGCTTATCACCATCATATTCGACATGATGGCCCCTGCCGCAGACACAGGTCGATGACCTTTGGTATGTACAAGCTTATTCTTATTATCTGGAGCTTGTTCACTGATTTTTCTTGTGTTTACCGGTTTCGGCGACGGTATGTCCACTGCAGCTAGGAAGCGGACGTGCCCCGTGTGGCCTTGGGACGATCCGGTCACCGTGGGCGTTTCCTCAATTGAAGTTGTAGTTGCTGTGATTTTTGGAAGGGGAACAGTAAGGATGACCCCTGCACTTGTTCCAACCCACAGTAAGTCTTTGCAGATAAGTAAAGAGGTTATTCGCAGACAAGCTGCCTTGTGTTGTCGTATGATAGCATCAGAACCTTTAGAAAGAGAGAACAAAACATCAGAGATCCAAATGATATCTAGGTGACCCTGGTGAGGTGCAGGACAATATCACTTGTAGGGTTCAAAGGGCAAAGTGTTTTAGGCCTCGACAATTCTAGCTTGCAAATGGTGAAGGTATCATCATTGGATGGTTTTTGTGCAAGGGTTGGTTTCATTTATCAGTGGTTACATGATTTACCCAAAAAGATGGTAGTTTACTCAAAAAAGGTGTACAGCCAAACCATAGAAACCTCATATAAATGAAAGCAGATAATTAATTATCGGATTTTGTGTCTGTCAGACTTAAAAATGTCTGATCAGACTCTGTCATATGCTTTGTCTATACTGTCAAATATTTGTTGCATGCTCAGGATGTTCCTATATATGGTCATGATGCGACCATATTCAGGCATGTCACATATTTTTGTCAAACAAAATTTTATAGTCTGGACAGAGCTAATACTATCATGCTTGTTTCAGACATTATCTGATTATCAAGTCCATGTCTGTAAGTTGAAAAATTCTCTAGGCCTACTTTATACAATTTATTGTTTTTCATTCTAATACAACCTGCAAACGGTCTTGCCACTAACAAGACCAAATGCTGAAGCACTAGTATCCATGTTTCATTGTGGGGGCTTAGAATTTACCATAATTCATCAACCTCAGTTGCCCATTTAAAGACATACAGTCGTATAAGGATTCTAATTAGAAAAGGAGTTGTTGTGGGTTGTAAGTACAATCATGAGATTTGATTCTGAAAATAGAAATCTGCTTAACAATCAAACTAAAGCTCTCTACAATGCATCTATTTTCAATTTCCAAAATAGGTTTATCCTTGAATTAGAGGAGAGAGAGCAATTACAATTTCCATAAAATTCATTTTTCAAAATGAGACTCGAGCTTCTGAATTAATAAAGAAAAAGAGCTATTAGCCCTCAGAATATAAAGATTCAAATTTACTCTGTAATTTTAATATTTTACTGTTTTTAAATTTGTATTTATATCGTAGATATGTTTAATGGTTTTAGATTTTTATACACATTTTATACTAAAGTGTTTCGCCCCTGTCCAGATCTGTGACTAGGCCCCCTACAGGTCCTTGTCTAAGCCTCTCTCTAGGTCTCTGTCTAGGTCTCTGTCTAGGCCCCTGTCTAGGTCCTTCTCATCCCTATCAGGTCCCTGTCCAGGTCTTATCTAGATCCCTGTCTAAGTCCCCATGTTTCTGTCCAGGCTCTTGCAACATTTCAGTTCTGAATACAGGAGTCATAATAAGCATATGTTTTAATAATACTGGAGTTTTGCTGCCCCAACCTATCTTGACATAGGCCCTAGTGGCACTTTTAGCACACGAACCCATCTTTGTTCACCTGATGCCGTCTCAAATAGAATCATTCTTCTAATCATAATCCCAACCAATCTTATATTTGCATTGCAGCAGATCGATATATTTTCATATTCAGAATCGGTTTATTTCCCTGATAATCTGGATCCATATTTAATCATGCAAAACGTTCAATCATCTCAACCCCTAGGGGGATTACTCCCGCCATGCTGTCTGTACCTGCGCATAGACTAATTTCGTCTCCCATCATGTACAGTAATAATTTAATTCTTTAATGTTAAATCAAGGGCAAAGAAGCAATTTGATAGATTGAATGAATATATTTGGTTAAAAGAAATAAATTAAATTTTATGGCTACGGCACCTCTAGAATGCACTCTCGTAAATAATGTACAAATGGATGTATTTGTAGACTAGAAACCACTTGGAACCACCCCTGAAAAATTAGGTTGAAGAGCAGTCATAATCAATATTTTTTTTATTTAAAACTGAACCAAACACAAGATTTGTTTCCTTTTCGGGTCTCAGACTTCTTCCTTTTCTTTTTGTTTTGCATATTTTAATATTATATTATAAATAAATTTTTTACTTCGAGAATTTGCAGCTTTCTGCTTATTCAATTCAATCTGTTCTCACCTGCGAGCATTTTGTGCACCGTCTGCGTAACATCCACTTCACACAAACTTTGATACGTGATAGCGTGGTACAAACGAACAACAGCACTACTCTGCAGCGACACCCAAACGCCCCAACCACTACTGACCATTGCATATACAGCTCGCTGCGAGTTCTCACAAACACCAAATTGATGCTGAAGACAAAGGAAAGTAAAAACAGGAATTTAAATTCTCAGTTTTAATATTGATATACAACAGTATTAAATTCTCAGTTTCAATATTGTTGTATATTAGTTATTGTGAGCATCCATTAACCAAAATTATGATCAATAATAAAATATTGTTAGTTTAATATTTAAAATAATTTATGTTTTAGAATCAATCAAAATCTATGTTTATATGTACTATGTTCATTTTTTGACATTTACTTCCAATTTACAGGAAATTGGAAGTACTGAAAAAATTATGAAAATATTACTTTACACAAGCATGCTAATGAGGATGAATGGAAATATTAAAAGTCACAACAAATTAAACAAATCTTAAAGTGTTAAGTTTTATCAATTCTAAACATTAATAGAATATGTAAAACAGGTTATAAAATTTTCATAGTATACTATATAAATACATGGTTAAAAAATATATTAATTAACATATCAATATTTTTTAAGATGCAACAAAAATAGATATTGTATAAGAGACAGGTTGTATACAAACCAAAAAATAGCTCTGTAATTTGGATTGCCAGTTAATAGCACTGTCTCTTATACACATCTAGATGTGTATAAGAGACAGCACTTTGTGATTATACTTACTTCAACAACCAGAGTATGTGGGTCGACAATTAACACACTATTCTGGCAACCACACCAGATCTTGGCGCTTACTGCCACCATACAGTTGATTGGAGTGTTGCTACTGCCGATTGTAAACGACGCTGGACTTCCAGTATCCCACGCTTTGCCTGTTGCAAGGAAGTATAGCCTCCTTAAATCATTTTTCATTTACAAATATTCACAATATATTTTAATTATAACATTAGCACATGAGACCAGATACGGATCAAAGAAATACTGTATTTATTCAAATAAAACACACAGGGAATTTATTGTTGAGAAGGGGTTTTGAGGAGATGTTTATTTAAAGGAAAGAATTTAATTTTTTTTTGTGTAACATGGATACGTATAGAGTACCCAGCCGTGTCGTCCACAACACCAGGTGGTGCTCTCTGTTGTCAACAGACGTTGGTTACCATTCATTACACCTGAATGACTTCATAGGCTTTCTGAAATAGGCATTTTAAAATCTCATATTTTACCATCAAAATATACTAAAAACACAAAAGCTCGCATTATATTAGTTATCGAACACACATTTAATCATCAATTGAAATTTACAAAGAAAAAGTAAGATAGAACATCTTAATAATTACGTTTGAAATTGGGATTAATGGTTTGTCAGTGAAAAAAATGGCATCCGGTTGAACACTTTTTGCAACGATAACAACAGAGTAGTATCACATGGTATCGTGATGTAACACTGTAGTACTCTATATACTCAAATAAATGCCCCTTCATTTTACTGTAAATGTGGAACTACAACAAATCATTACCATCAAAATGTGTTATTGCGGACTAATCCCAACCACGTAACAAAAAATATAATTCTACCTTCTCTCCCCCACACCTTGCTGGCACCACTCTATTTTCTAGGGGTAAGTACTGAGGTCAAAGAATAGCCATCAAGCCATTGATGAATGGAAGCCACTAAATGGTAAACAAACTCATCAAAGACAGATTTATTGTCTTGACATAGAAAAGCGATGCAATACATGCCACAGTTGGAAGAAATGCCTCGTATATATCAATTATCTTGATATGATTAAATTAAACTAATTCAGATTTACTAGTTTATAATGTTTAATATATCACAAAGTTGTATACAAACCAAAAAATAGCTCTGTAATTTGGATTGCCAGTTAATAGCATGAGTACAGATAGACCCCAGATATCTGGATGTCTTTCTTTTTGATTAAAATTTAAACATTTATCGCCAGGCATATACAAGGATAAGAATAACTTCTATAATTTTTTTGATAAGACTTTTACCATAAAAACTACAATGTGAACAGCTCATTAACTTTTCCTGACACTTACCGAGCTGGACAGGAAGTTTCACCGAGTCCTGTTTGCCCGGTAAAACTTACCGAGACAGTTTCACTGAGTAAAGAAGGGCCCTCATTACTTGCTTTTTACAGCCCCGTAAGTCTTACTGCGACTGTGGTGAAACTTTACCGAGTCAAAGAAGTCCAAGTGGGAAGTCCCTTCCCATGGTCTCAGTAAGATTTTTACCAAAAAATAAGTCTAGTGCAAATGAGGTTTAGTTTATACCTTGTTCTCGTTTGTAGACTGTGAGGTCGCCATTAGCCAATGACACAAAGACTTTGTTATCGAGGTAGAGGATGCAGTGAACTGAAGCAGGATGACGAATCTTGGCTCGGCTCTTTCTTTTCGTGCTGATGTTATCCCCACACTGATATACATGAATGCTGTTGAAAAAGAAAAAAAAAATAAATGGGGATGTTCCTGAATATGGGAACAAGGCAATTAGTCTTATCATTGTAATCAGATATTACAATCAAATAAACAGGTCAAACGATAGATTTAGAGAGAACAAGATATAGATTCAACAAGATCAATAGAGATTTTGAGATTTTGTAGAACAAAGAGATCAATAGATAGATTTACAAATATGAAGAAGACATAACATAGAAATTTAACAATTCAACAGATATATTTAGAGATTAAGTGACAAATTAGGTGATAGATCAGACAATTCAACAGCTTTAGATACGATGATAGATCAGGCAGATCAATTAAGGGATTAGTTAACAGATTAAACATATCAATAGATTTAGAAATTAGATGACGGATTAGACAGATCAATAGAGATTGAGATATTAGGTAACCGACTAAACAGATCAATGGATTTAGAGGGATTAGGTGACAGATAAGATAGATTACTAGATTTAGAGATTAGGTAATATGTAACAGATTATATAGATGAATAGATTTAGAGATTATTTGACAGATTAGATCTGGTGGATTTAGGAATTTGAAATCCCAGTGAGGAACTCTCAGAGATGGAGGATTTATACCACCTCAGCTTCACCATGCTTGGGACTGAGGTAAGAACATTTATGGTTAAGGCACCTCTATAGATGATCAAAATGGCAATTTCAGTTTTTCTTTATTTTTTCCGTAATTTGAAAAAATTCGGAAAGGGGGTGGGGGAGAGGGTGGATGGTGGGAGAATGGGCCATCCACCACTGAATGAATTTATAAAGATTAAATAATAGATCAGACATCAATAGATTTATAGATAAAGAAAAAAGAAAACTGTATATAAACTAGAAAAATCTTAAAATCCTTAAGCAAGTTAAACATAATATTATATTACTAGTGTTATATTATATTGCAACATCTGACTTTAGGTTGTACAGTAAATTAACCTGTCGCTGGGTACATAATTAATAGCATACCATTAACTTATAACATATTTATGTTATCAGCTACAATTACAACTAGTACTACTTTAGTCTGCTAGGCTATTAAATAATTAATCTTGGATACTAAAGCACATTTGTCATTTGTACTATGATAAATTAATGACACATGTACCTTTAATGGTGTAATGAAAGATTGCTAAGCATTTGAAAATAGACAAGTGCTTACATAAATATTGATATCTTTTTATTATGCAGTTGTCGGGTGAATTCGCATCGAAGAAAATGTTTGTCTTTTAAGTAACTGCGCAAATTTAGCTAGAAATCACTAAAATATGACCAGAAAATTCAGATAGTAATTGCATTGAAATGCGTGGATTAGGAAGTGATTTCCCAACTCAACATTTGTTGAAAGGGCACAGCCATTTCTATTAATTTCTGGGGGGGGGGGGGGGGGGGGGGGGGGGGGCGGTTTCAAGGGAGGCACAGAAACCTCCAGGAACCCTGAACCCACATCGGGCAAGAAGGTAATAATTGCTGTGGGGAAACATGAAAGATCAACATTTTTACAATAATGAGTATCATTTCCAGCCATCTAGAGGTGAAAATTCTTAAAATTTACTCCTTCAATGATGAGGCTAAGGTGAATAAGGGCCTACTGTTGAGGACCTTAGAAATCTCATTGGGAAAATTAAGCCTCCTGCAAAGAAGCTTGGACCCATCACTAAGGGAAGCATGGCACAGGGGCGTACCGTGGGGGGTCGATGGGTGAGGTCGACCCCCCTCCCCTTTTAAAGAAAATGCCCTTTAAATATGCTCGCTTCACTCACAAATAACGCACCCTGCGAATTCTGAAAGCTTCGCTAAATTGCTCCGAGTTCAGCTTGCCCCCTGCGCTTTCGTTTCGAACCCCCCCCCCCTAGATTTTTCACCGTACGCCCCTGTGGCCCCAGCACAATTTAAAATTCAACATGAAAAGGTTCATCATACCTGTCTCCCAATGGTCATTTTGAAAAATAGCAGTTAATTAATCACTTTTGAATTCAAATTGCCATTAAATTTTGTGTCTTGTTCAAAATTATTGACAAGACCAGTTGAACACATGATTACACAGGACTTCCACTTTAAATTGTTCATCAGTATAAGTACCTTAATATGGTTAACATAAGTTGTACACTATCAAGTCTATCTGTTTTATCAGATATGTTTAAAGCAAACATACACAATCATACCAATCTCATCAAACATTTATTATTGTGTCTGTCAGATAAAAATATGAGTGAAATGCCCTGCTTTAATCAAATGTTAATTTGCCATATGACGGATTCAAAGTATACGAACATGTTCCGTCAGACCATCAGATAATGTTATTGGGTTTCTGAATATCTCTGAAAGAATTTTGTAATATATATTGCAGGATATCTCAAAACATGCTCATCCTCTGAATTGAATTACGTTAAGATAATATGATGAGCAGATTGCCTTTAAAGTTAATTAAATCCGCATCCTCCTATGTATAAAGGTTGTTGACTTACCATCCATCCTCCGTGCCTAACCACATTGTTGGTTGAGCTGCTTCCAGGCTATCCTTGTACGGTCTCAATCCATTACGAATTCGATCAGTATCGTCGTCTATTATGAACAAATATTAAGGTGGTTAACATATTGCACATCTAGAACTACATTATCAGTCACAAATCTTAATTATCATTGTGTAATACAGTACAAATAAAACTTTTAAGCTATATTTTTTTTTTTTTTTTTTTTGAACAGGACTTTAAAAAGGCCTGTCCAGACTATCAAATTTTATTTGACAAAATTATGACATACCCAAGTATGGTCATATAGACATCACATCATGACCATATATAGGCACATCATGACCATATATAGGCAATTCATGATCATATATAGGCTCATCATGACTATATACAAGCATACAAAGAAAATTTGATTGTGTGGACAGATTTTTATATTTAATTTCCAGGCAATGTTTGATCAGATTTTGTTTCATTGAATGTTTCAGAACCACACGCTGAGCATTCTCAGTCAGCCATAAGTAGATACTCTAGCTTGGTTCTGGTTAGGTAAATACCCCTAAAAGGAGCAAAGCGAGAAGGGTTGGTGGTCGTTGAGTTATTGGCTTTTGAGATGGTTGATGACCGCTTCCTTGAACTTTTCCTTGTCTTGGATTCCAATTATATGCTAGGGGAGTTTATTGTTCTATATATGAATGAGTATTTGTAACAGTCCTTTGTTACAGGTACTGAGTTATAGGTAGAATGTCTAGAGAACTGACAGGGCGCAGGTATGTATGTAGCGGGATGGTGAGACAATCATTAAGGCCTGATGAAAAAGAGACAATTTGTTTGTCGTTCTCCTTATTTGCAAGGGTTCCCAATTGAAATCTTTTTTCATTGCAGCAACACTACTATACCTACTGTAGTCACCAATGACAAAAAACATGTACTTCTGTTTTGTACATCTTCAATTTGCAGTATTAGTTGTTTTGCTTGGTTTGTGGACAGCCTGTACAGTGGTTCACAGTATGTTGCAGCCCTAATTGCCAGCATTTCATGGAAGCCCTGTTATCAAATTTTATTAGACAAAAACATGTGATATGCCTAAATATGGTCATGATGACATCACATCATGACTATATATGGGCATAAAACAGTTTTTCGTCAAAGAAAATTTGATGTGTAAACAGGGCTTTATGCAAAAAAGGGCATGTGCCTACAAAATTACCCAAAAATTAGAGGGTGGGCTTAAACTTGAACAAGGCTAACATCAGAAATCAAGCCTAGACTAGGTGATGGGTTTATAATCGAGCATGTGCTGTAAGCACATGCTCGATTATAATATACTCGGTATTATATACTCTGTAAATATAAAATAAGGTATGGTAATTTCCTTACCTAGATGGGGTATTTAAATGGCCTTGTTTGGGATGAAAGTATAAAAATTAAACTACACAAAATATAATCATCACTTATCTGTTGTACGTTGGACAATAATTACTCCCGTTGCACTGTGATGAAACATATTGTTTGTTATACCTGATTCTTGTAGGGTAGGGCTGTCAACCAATGTCATACAAATTGTATTGTGTGTTTGTATTTGTGAACTCACCTGAACTGGCCTCATCCATTGCAGATTCTTCCACAAACAACTGGCTTTGTTGTCCGATAACAGGCGAGAGAATTTCTTCGTCGAGTTCGCTGTCGTCGGTGTCAAAGGCCATAATATCAGCTGCCTTATTACTCAGGTTCATGGTAGGTGTTGAATTCAGAGAAAAACTAGACTTGTTTGCATTCTGATGGCTGACCTTAGGGGAAGAGGTCATTCGTGATGTAAGCACTTCCTCATTGCTGGGGGAAACCATTTCCGGAAGGGGTCGTGTGCGCTGTCTTCTCTTCATTGATGATCTAGGATTGATAATACCTCATTTTAGCATCATTTATAATATCGATGATATGTAAGAAGATGGACAAACAAAACAAAATCCTATGGTTTTTTATGGAACATAATGATTGCAATCACAATTGCAACATCTCCACCCAGCACTATCATGATCAATGGACAAGGTATTCAAAGGCAGATCAAGCGGGAGAGGAGGTACCGAAGAGCACTCACCCATTCTCCCATGGCAGCAGTCAAAAAAACACTAACCAAGCATGAAATCATTTTACAAAAATGACTACAATTTGTGGACCCTCAATGATTTTGAAAATCTTCGTCCTATCTGAGTCGTAGTTTCTGCCTCCTTTGATCCTTAGGTGCTCAATTGCCACTCGCGCCATTACAGCTAAAAAATTCTGGAGTCACCACTTGTATTTTCAATATTTTTCATAACAAATCATCCTTAATTCTGGTCAAATAGACAGTGGCTTACCTGATTTTTTGACTTGAGCATAATTTTTTGTCATTGAATGGTTGGGACACTGGGGTAAAAAGTTTCATGGCGGAGAAGGAAATGCTATTAGGAAAAGACCCTTACAATCATCTCAAATGAAACCTACCTATTGGAATGGTCTGGACCACCTGGTACAGACATTACACACAGGATTCTTGTAGAGCACACCGATATACACGACACAACGTTAGGATCCGGTGTCATGCTTAACAAGCACACCTGACCGACGTAGCCGTCACTGTTACAAACCCACACGTCTCGGAGACTGTTACTCATTGTACCAAGACTCGGAGCAGCGCAAGTGAACTGCATACCGCTACGGGTCTTGGAGATCGGGATTGGGTATAAAAACACGGGCGGGAAATAATCTTTGGAACACGAACCTGAAATAGAAAATATACATTTCAAGGTGTCATAATTATTAAAAGTATTATTCAAGAATTTTAGTATTAGTCGCCAACATTTAAGTAGAACTCACTAAGTTTTATGTAGAACTACTATATATATATATATACTCAACACATTTAAGTCATACTTACTAAGTTTTAACTTTGCTTCTGTAAACTTGCTTTCAAAGTTGTTCTTCAGCTCAGCATTGTTAAAAATTAAGGTCATACTCTCCGTTCCTTCCCTAAAATGTATACAAACAAATTTTTTTATTTGTTCTTACAATAATGTAAGTTCAATATACTAAAAAAATAAAGTACAGTAACAACAATATATATATTTATTGACGGTTTACTTTTTTTTTTGTACCTGTTTGGGGACCATTGATTTATGAGCTAAGACTCTTTCCTACCATGCTAATAATTTTTTTTGGATAATTTTTTGCAACTTGTTAAGCAGCGATATTAAAAACAAAGAAAAAAATAAGCACTTAAGAAGAAATACATCTGATACTGAAAAACAAACATTAATTTTTTTTTCTTTTAAAGAAATGAGTAATCTCTTACTGTGACGTTACCAGGGCACTGTCGGAATAAGTTGAGTAGGGTTACCAATAACATGTCACAGAATTGTAATTACAAAAAAATGGATATTTTTAGGAACAATATTTTAAACACAGAACAAAGGAACAAAATTTCAAGTATAAAATATATGTAATATGTTATATATATATAGCGCTTAATGCCAACAAGGGCTCTAAGCAATTCACATTACTACCCCAGTCATTGGATTAGACGCCTATGGAACACAAACTGTTCTATAAAGTTGCGGCAGCTACATGAGCGCATTTTGGCACTTGACCCTACCAGGTACCCATTTATACTCCTGGGTGGAGAGAAGCAATGTAGATAAAGTGCCTTGCCCAAGGACACAAGCGAAATGCACAGCGAGGGGATTGAAACCCCGACTCCGAGGTTGAGAAACCAAACCGTTCCCACTGCACTAACCACTTATAAGTATAACATATGGTTTAGTTTTGTTTGGCTGATCCAAATATATCTGCGATCGACATGAATTTATTCACGGAATATTATAAAAAATACACGCATTCTTTGACACTACAGACTGTTGTTTTTCAAATATACAGCAATTAACGTCACAAATCCCCTATTCAAAAGGTGAATAGACGTTAAGAAACAAACAAATTGATAAACTGCACGTAATTGTCCTAATATTAACCCTTGTTGTTACGCTGTTGTAAACAAGACAAGTCAGTATAATTGCTGATATAACACAACTGTACTATAGGAAAGTTGATTTAAAGTGTAAAGAGCAATGTCTGTTTGTGACATGCAGACAATTAATGAAGGGTCATTTTGGTTTAATAAAACACCATTACAGATGACTGATTGCTGGAGACAACATCAACTAAATTATGAGACAGAAGTGTAGGCTGGTTTTGGTCTAGGGTATGAAATGGTCTGAGGACACTATGGTCTGGGGTATGAAATGGGGTATGAAATGCTCTGGGGGTTGTGAAAAAAATTGAGAATGCAGAAATAAAACCTAATGCAATTAAAAAAAAAAAAAAAAAAAAAAAATAATGGTCATTTTTTGTATTTTAAACCACTTTAGCGAATCTAATTTGATGTCATAAGGTGGGCAACGGGTTGTGCGTCCACACCTCACACCTACACCCATTATGAGAACATATGATAGCTCATTTTAGACATATAAGTTTTCCAGTAACAAGAATTAAGTTGGAAGAGAGTGGCATCCATAGAGTACACCGATAAATTTTTGGGAAATTTACATCTGCTCAAGGAATCAGAAGTTAAGTGTATTGTGAATTTTATCATTATTTCAATGGTTAATAAATACATGAAAATGGGTAGTTGGTGTATATCTGCAAAAAGAACTTCAGTCATTTTTAAGCACACGTCAACAGAAATAAATACAATTAAGATGGTAATAAAATAAATAATAATGGTAACAATAACAATGAGCTAAAAAAAATATAATGATAATGATAATATATTCATTATTAATAATACTTCATATTTATTTTGTTAATGCTAATGCATAATCAACTGCGGAGATGTCTTAAACTTACGGTGTCGTCGCTGATAATTCCACTTTGTTCATTAGCGATGGCGGCATGGAGCGAAGAGATTGTCGATCCGATATTTTACGGTTAATTGCATCCATTAGTTCCTTGATGACATCATTCAAAGCCTTAATCAAATGTAAACACAAGAGAAATCATTTTACATCATCCTTTCGTGTCACTTTTGACATTTCTGTATCTAAATAAATATATTAATGGGTATTCTGAACACTTCCCAAGTAATGTATTGATTTCTTTGCCATAGTAATAAATTGTATACGCAATTCAAAATTATGCCCGGTGGTAATATCGTAATGGTCTTCCATTTCTGTAGTGCATATTACAGGTGTCTAAGTAGTCGCAAGACTTAAGTGTCGACGACAAACAAATACAAAAAAACAAAAACAAGATCTAGACTAGAGTGAAAAAGGTGGATTTAAGCTGGGTCTTGCATCATCATCATCATCATCATCATCACCAGGAGCAGATCCAGAGATGTCTGAAATCGGGCCAATCAAGAAACAACACTACCCTAGGGGTCCGTAGTCCTCCCCCTAAAAAATGTTTGTTTTCTAGATTCCTATAATAACCCCAGAGGCATTTTTGAGCAATCATTTTTTTTTTAATTGACTTTTTAAAAAGGGGGAGGGGGGGTGCTGGCTTTCCCCCCAAATCTGCCACTGATCATCATCATTATCTGCTAAGCTGATTTGTCTTGAGCAGACATTTTCTTTTCATAGCTTTAGGTGTGGATTGGTTTTCCTAATGCTAATGTCTTTTTTTTCTTCCTTTCCTGAATGTACGTTTTTGTCGTGATTCTAATTGTTGCTGGATTTTTTTTTTCTCTTGTGTCAGCCCTTTTTCTTTGTGTTTTGGCTTTCTCGCTTGTTGCATTTTAATAATATTTCATCTTTTAATAATTTTGTATTTTGTACATTTTGTAAATCTGCTCGCAATTCAGTTATATTTTGCTACTATGAGTTTTGATAATAAAAAAACAGAATGAATGAAAATTTCTTACACTGATTGCTTCACGAATGTAATTCAGGGTCTTATATTAACCAATTTTAATTGTTTACATAAACTGACCTTTGACATGGTCATGAATACCTAAGACTATGTGATGGCTTGAATTTAACACACTGCAATGTCAAAGAATGTATTATGAAAGTATTATGGAGAACATTTTGAGCTGACCTATGATATGGTCATAAATACTACAAGACAGCTTGAATTTAACACATTATCAATGACAAAGAATATACATTTTTTTCCCTCACCAATCTCAGAACATATTTTTTTTGGAGAATGTTTTGAGCAGACAGAGTTTTCACATTAATCAACTGGATCTCACCTGATGAGAACATGCCAATGTATCAGCAAGTCCACTGATCTGGTTTAATCTGGTTAAATCCTCTTCTAACTTGCTGATCGTCTGGTCAAATGCGATCCTCTTTGGTGTATGAGCAGGCTTCACTATATCCATATCTTCCAGTTGATACTTCCAGTTCAGCTTGTACTTACTTGCATCGATTGGTAATGCTGCAGGACTCAATCTAATTATGCCAAGTAAAAAAGAACAACTTCTTGTCTGAATCTTTTGAAAAAGCTTGTCTGAATCTTTTGAAAAAGGAAGAACAAGGCCTTGGGTGCTATAAGCATTTCCAGATTATCATTATACTTGTAACACAGAATCTGATTCATACAAAAATCTGGGTAGGCCATGTTTTGGAGTATTGTGCTTCCCTCTTTCTCGTTTCTTTCCTTTTTTCTTTATTTTTTGAGGACTCCCTTCCCTCCCCCATGTCCTTGGATCGGTCCCAGCCTGATCAACACAGTTAAAGAATACTAAAAAATACTAAAATTAACTCTATTTAATATGCTATTTCAGCTACTAATTCGGTCCTCAATGTTGAAAGAAGCGGGTTAGTATAGTATTTAAAATGAGTATTTTTTACTTACACGCTAATTGACTGTCTTCGTCCGGGTCCAGACCGGCGCTTTACAGAGGCACAGACAATCAAATCCGAAAACAAGAAAAGACATCGGTCTTTCTTGGCTACTTTCTGTAATATAAAAAATAAAATGTAGTGAATTTGGTTGCTAATCTGATGCCAAACACAATACTGACATTAATATCAATTACGTTAACTATAGCAGGCCTAATAAATTGTATATATTACTTTATGAATGCACAGGTCTCCTTCAAATTAAAGATTGGTTTTCTGTGGTCTCAAATTAACTAATGTCTTTTATATTTAGTGTTCTAATTAGAGACCAAAGCTGCTAAACACTATAGAAAACTCGATCCCGAAAGTGGTATATTTATGTATTTTTGATAAGATTTGATTAAACTGTACCAATTCACTGAACGGATACTGCCGAATAAACCGCCGATTCGGAGCAGCAAGCTCTATATTGCCGTCAATCAAACTCTCAAGCTCGCGTAAAATAGCAATATCAAGCATGGCACGATCAGCTTCATTCTTCTTATCATCAATAGCACGGGCAAGGGTTCGAATCTTACTCAACGCCACCTCAAGATTGTCATGGTCTGGATGATCTTCAGGTGTATTGTCTAAAAAATCCTGAAACAAATAACAAAAACATTAAAGTAACGAAAAATAAAAAGTCGTAACTCAGGGGTACAAATTCTCCTGAAAGATAGACTTCCAGAAGTCCCTGCTGATTGACATATATAGAAAAATAAAGTTAGATGTATTAAGAACACTTATAAATGCTGTATAAATGACATAGGAAATAGGACATTTGTTTTCGACAATTGAAGTTTGATTTAGAATTGTTAAACTTCAGATTTATAATAAATTTTGGTACAATGTTTTATGATAATTCATTGCTGTTTTAACCTGAATTTTAAGGATTTTATTTTACCTTGTAAATGATTATTGATAACTATGTTTTTAATATGTATGACCTCTGGTCTCTTCTGAAAGGGTGCCTAACAAATGTGTTTTGTTGTTATGATTATTATTATTATTATAGTAATATAATTTCATGATTATTTTTCTTGTTCTTCATGTAAGAGACAAACTTTATTGTATATGTGCTATACAAGACTAAAATTAATATTATATTGTATAATATATATTGAATCTTAAATTTGAAATGTTAGCATGGAAAATGTACTTTTTAATGAATAGCTCTACTCTATGATTATTTATTTATTTTTTTATTATGGGACTCTTTTTTTGGTCCCGTAAGTGTCCCCTTAATAGGGATTAATAGGGGTTCTACTATAATAATTTATTAGAAGTCTTGGAGATCCTGCCTAGTTATAGGCTTTCTTTCTTCCTATGCATTTTTAATGAAGACATACAATAAAAGAAAATATATTGAATGGAATATTAATCAAACATGACAGGGACTTGTTTTGTTCTGCCTCAAATTCATCATAATACATGATTTCTAATTAAAAATAACATTTAATTTTTGGCAAATTAGCGAACCCGCCGCACACAAAAAATTGGAAATTTCAGTAAAAATAAACAGTTTCCTTTATTTTTCATTATGCTTGCCGCTGCTGTGAAATCTCCAAAAATAAGATATGTTTGTTTGTATGTTTTTTCATAATATATAAATTTAAGGATTTTAACCATCCTATTACTGTTTACCGAAAGGTGCACTGATTAATCTCAGATAAGAAAGTATAATACATACTCCAAGTATTGAAATACACGCCATCGTGTTGGGATTCAATATTTCGACATTAATTATGTCATCATCAGGAATGATTACTGTTTACATTCACCAAAAAAATTACTTTTTTATTTTCTCCTCCATCTGGATGTTTTTGGCAAAACTAATTGCTAAATGAGTAAAGAAAAATTCTTTTTTCTGTCCTCCTCTAACGATCTTAAAAAAATACGATCACGAAACAAACACATATCTTCCAGCTTATCATTTCTTCATTTATCAATTGATTTTATATAAAGAGGAAAAGAGGAATACAATATTATTTTATCTCAAAGGATTTTATCTGGTTCTATAAAGTGTAACTAAATGTTCAACAATAAAAACAAATTTCCTAGTATTTATTTTCATGACAAAAATTTCAATACAATTTTTCGTATCGTATCGTAAACATATATTATACAAAAAAAACTTTGTAGAATGTTAAACTTAAAAGGAGTAAAAAACGAGGGAAACGATTAATTAATGCAAAGTGAGGCATTGCCATCCAAAAACAGTAGACTAATGCTAAATGTTAAACAGAGTAATTAGTACTTAGCAGAGCTTCATTTAATCTTTTGTTGAATTAGTTAGTAATAGACATTTAATCTATACACTGAAGAACCATTTACAGTAGAGTAATTAGTACAATATTTATTATTATCCATTCAAATAACAAAGAATCAATTTGCATTTAATAAAAACAAGAGAAAAAAATTATCTCAAAACCTTGTAGATTAAAGAACTGCAATCCTAATTGTTTAAAATATCTATTTTTTATAATACCTTTTAATTCCTGATTATCGAATAAAGCATTTTTGATAATTTTAATTTATTTTTAAATTGTAAATTTTACTGTTATTTCTTAATATTTCTTGAATGTGCTGCTTTCTTTCATTTGTTTTACTTTCTTTTTAAATGTGCCTTTTTAATGTATTTGACTTATTGGTTAAGATTTGCTATTTTTAGTGGTTAAGGTTAGTGCAATTTTCAATGTTTTCTTTCTGTCTTGAGGACAACAATGGAAATAAGTTTACTTGTAAACTTTCTTGGGTATATTACTCAGTTCATTCAGTTGATATTGTTCTTTATACTTTTTATCTGTTTCTGCACTTTTGTATTGTTTTGTTTTTATCTCTCTGAATGAACTGAATAAACTGAAATGAAATGAAATGAAACAGCAAAACATTGACAAACAATAAGACAAAATAGATAACAGAGGATAATCCTTTCAGCTGGTAGGCTTGTTTCAGAAGGGGGTCCCCAACATAAATATAAATGATATAATTAAGCATTAAACAAAAAAATGTAAGACAAATTATTTTTATTAGCATAACAACATGGTAGTATTGTATACGGTTAATTTACAATAAGTTATCAAAATGTAAAGAAAAGATAGAACTTCAACCTCAAGGTTAAGATACCTGAATCACAACCCAATGTGCTAACCGCACACATTGGGTAACTTTAACTACAAAAATATACATTTCACATCTAACTATATAACTATCATCATGCTGATTAACCGTGTCAGGCTAGACATTGAATACCAGTGTGACTAAGTTGGTATGTATAAATAAACCAAATGGATTCTGTTGATATACATAGACTGCCCTCGTTAAGACTGTAGTTAGTACCTGGTACCATATCATCTCATTACTTATATTCCGTTATTATTATCCAAAGGCCACGTAACATTTTTCTTCTTTTAATTTCAAGCCATTTTTATCTGCTACCATCAGTCTATATGGGGCTTACCATCCCAAAACCTGCATACGACTGTCGCTGAATTTTAAACTGAATAATTAGCATGAATGCGGCAGTATTTTAGTAGTACAGAAGCCATAATACTTTTACTCATGACTTCGGCAATAGTAAGTTGATTGTAGTAAATGACATATCATTTTAAAAGCTTTTTAATGTGGAAACTGTGTTTATTAAGAAGTCAATTTCCTTATTTTCGTGACTGCTGCTAGTTACATGCTACCAGTAAAAACTAAAAGTTTTTGATTTATAAACCAGAAGTTAATAATAAACCCACTTTGTGATGTTAACCTTTTACCATATCCACTTGAACTGATTTTAACAACAGATACTGTATAACTTAAAGAATTAGATTTTACTATTAATCACCCTTAACGTTGGGGACAATAACTATAAAAAAAAAACTAATACTTTATCTAATAAAATAATAATATGTTATTAATTAATAAAATGTTGTTAACATGTTGACTGCTTGACCCTTTTATTAGGTGACAAAACAAGTATACATGTACAAATATACTTTCTAGAAACTTTATCTTGTCATTCAGTATGTCATTGTCATCAAAATGGTGAGTCGAATAAATTATTAGAGGAGTAGACTTTTGGTTGGCAGTGGGACAGTACTTTTTACAGCTACTGCCAAGTGTTAGTCTCCTCATCTGCCTTTCGCATGAGTTGGTATATGTTCAGAGCGCGCCCCCCCACTCATGCAATCAAGTCCCGGTAACGTAACATACATTTGTTATTTGTACGTTATCATCTAGGTGTATCTCCCCCGAACTATCAGCTTTTAAGTCTGTTCATGGTTCTACAATGTTTAACAATGAAGTAATAAATGCTAGTTACCCTGGTTTTTGATGAGTTTAGTCATTGCTTGCGCCCTCAGCAAACACCCTAAAGGACGAATACTCGTCGCAGGCAGCGAACATGTTAAGGTCGCAGGCAGCGAACATGTTAAGCTGCAATCTCTTTGTACTCTAAAGTCTAATGACCTTTCGTTAATCGTTGAACCCAACATATTCCAAGAATTAGTTATTTTTGGCATGTTTTATGATCAATTTATAAAAGTGTATTACGTTTAAATGATGATAAGCCTATCTTATCACCTTCAGCCAGCAGTGTTGAAACAAATAGGGGGTTCTTTTTTATTGGATTGGAATGAATCTATTCGGTGTAAACACCAAGGATAGCCTACTCTAGAAGAAGACTTATTTCCAGTGGGGTCCTTCTGATGGTGATTGGACAGTACACCGGGAGATAATCCCATCTCTTTTCTGAAGAGTGTACTGCAAATGGGCCATAATGCACACGGGACCAACAGCTTAAACGTCTCATCCGAAAGACGGTGCGCTATTGTAACTTGTATTTTAGCCCTCTAGCTGAAACACAAGGAGAGGCAGCGATGAGAATTAAACCGGGGACCTAGAGATCTCCACGGTTCAGCGCACACACAGTGGCTACCACCAGATTAGTCGACTGAGCTAAGTTGCTCTCTCAGAGCTATGTAAAGCTAGCTGCTAAAATAATTGCAATGACAATTGTTTTTATGCATACAAATGTCTATCTCTGTTTGAATATTTTATGTTTCATATTGGCAATAGAAAAGCACATTCATACAGGTGTCATAAACAATAAAATTTACTTTACTTAATAGGAACAAAAGCTAAATAAAAATAATTCAGTAAAAGATTATATTAACAACAGTGAAGATTATAATGTAAAAATGTCATTTTTATTAAATCGTTATTATCTCTCGGTCGTTGGATCAAACACGTACGCGACATATACTTAGCCACCTGAGGGAGTACTTCATAAAGTTGAAGACAGTAATCAGCAAATTTGCATTCAAATCTATTACGGTATTAATTTATATTCGTAGGTAGAAAAGAAATTCAAGGATAAAGTGTGCTGGTAAAAACAGACAAACAACCGCCAACAACTCGAACTGCTGACTTGTTTATTGGAAGCCTGCTGCTTTACACTTCTTCTTCTTCTTCCTTGAAAACAGGTTCAAGGAACATTTATTAATCATATAGGCCTCTGGCCCAAATAATATACAAAATATGATATTAACAAAATTAGAGTGCATCTAAATATTCTTTTCTGCATTTAAATGAGTAAAATAAGCATTTTG